GAAAAGATACTGTTAAAATTGTTGACGGTTTTTAGGGTTTCATTGCTGGTAAAGGGTCTGTTGTTTTAACAACTGGTTAAACTCTGGAATCTATGTTATGTATACCTCTACTTAAGCGTAATATTTTATTTGTCAGTAAGTTGACACATGACATTGATTCGTTGCTCATTTTTCCCCCGATATTTGTCTTTCAAGTTTGTCGTTCGAGGATGATTTGTACCGCTAAACGGGAAGGCTGACTGTACTTCTTCCAAGAGAAAAACATGGAGAATGAGAACACTTCACCCAGTAGTTGCAGTTTATCACAGTCCACTGAATGTCCTATCATGTTGTTACACTATAGTTTGGTTCACAATTGTTTTTAGCATCTAAAACAATTGTATCCATTGTTGTTTAGTAAGAAAAATCTTTCCAATTTCAAATGTGAAACATGTCAGTTAGGTAAACATCATCGTGTTCCTTATTCACCCCACACTTACACACATTCATCTCCTTTCTCTCTTATTTACAGTGACTCATGGGGATCCTCTCACATCTCCAGCTACACTAATAAACAGTGATTCCTTTGATTGATGACCACACTTGAATGATGTGAGTCTATATTTTAAAATACAAATTTGAAGGTGTAGCCACTTTCAAAAAATTTCACAGCTTCATTTTGACCCAATTCAAAACTCTTATTCAAATCCTTCGGATTAACAATAGTCGTCAATTTTTTAACTCTATATTGAGAGAATTCTTGATAAGTAAGAGCATCCTCTATCATTGCTCGTGTACGGACACTCATCAACAAAATAGGGTAGCTTAGAGGAAAAACCGACATTTCCTTGATGTTGTTAGCTTCATTATGTTTCATTATTATGTCCCAAAACATTTATGGAATGATGTCCACTTATTTCATTAATAGAATTCTCTAAAAAATTCACAACTTTTAAATCCCTTTAGCTGTCTTGAGATTGTGCTTTCCTAACAACCGGGCATTCAACATTTTAAATTCAAAAATTTTTGGGCGCACATCCTTTGCTCCGAATACGGGATTAATTCAGAGTAAGCTTGATCATAGGTTTATAAAATGTATTTTTCTCGGATACTTTACTATTCAAAATGATTATCGATGCATTGACACTATCACAAATAAGGTCTATGTGAGTGTTGATGTATCTTTTTTTGAAAGTGTTTCCTATTTCTCTAACTCAGCCTCCTGTAAGGGGAGTTAGAGTTCTTGGAAACTGTTCCTACCCTCCTATGGATATACCCCCCGCGTCACCTACTATTAGGGCTGTCAAAACGACTCGTTGCTCACGAACAGTTTGTGTTCAACTCGTTAAGAAGCTCGTGTTCGATTCGTTTGCTAAATTAACTAGTCAAACACGAAAAAAAATTTATTCGTATGTTTTTGTTTCGTTTTGACACGAAATTATTAGTATAATTGATGTGCGTCATTAGGTTACAAGTTGGAAGTTGGTAAACAACTGTGTTGTCAGTCATAAGATCTCCTGACTCCGTTTCGATCCCTAGGGGGACGGATAACACATATGAGAAATAATATTCTCAAATGCCATCATTTTTATATATATGGATATATATTATAAGTATAACTGATGAGTTGTATTTTTAAAAAAAATTAATTGACCACAATGCTACAAAAATTTATAATCAATTAAAATTATTAATTAAAAAAATGGAATAAAATTATATCAAATTATATTTTAATGATGTTTTAATATGAATAATAAGATTTAATACTCGCCCCAAACTTTTAACATTCTACGGTTGCATAAGTAGGGTTGTCAAATTGACTCTTCGCGAAGAGTCGAACTCAACCAGATCTTTTTTTTGTTCGAAGTATAAACTGGTCGAACATGAACAGTGGTAATTTTTAATGAGCCGAACACGAACTATGTTATTTTTTAACTAGCCGAACACGAGCTGAGTCCGGGCTTGCTCGTGTTTGACTCATTTAAACCCCTACCTACCACCGAGGAACCTTTTGTCCCTTTGGTTCCACATACTCATCCTTCAACTCTCTGTGTCTACACTAGAATCACTTGTTCTGATGCACCTATTATTGAGCTCGTTAATCGCTTTTCGGACCCTAAATCCCCTCCAAACAACATCCTCAACACTGTTTCTACTCCAAATGAGAAAGTCAGTTTATCTAGTAAGGTACGCAATCAAACATAGTCCCTCTATCCCATGACAAACTATGTTTCTTTCCACAATTTTTCGCTGAATTACAGATCATTTGCTACGACACTGACCAATCATCAGCTCCCATCTACTATTGAGGCTGCTTAGCAGACCCAACCTCGAAAGCTATCGTCATGGAGGAGATAAATACTTTTCGGCAGAACCATACTAGACATCGTTGATCTTCCTCGGGGCAAGAAAGCATTGAGTTACCGATTGATTTTTAGCATTAAGTTTAAATCTTATGGATCCTTTGAATGCAACAAGATACAGTTGGTCACCAAATAGTACTCACAGACCTACGGAGTTGGCTATAAGGAGACATTTGCTCTTGTTACTAAATTAAATATCATTCGGTCCTATTATTTCTTGCGGTGAATTTGGATTGACCCTTATTCCAGCTTGATGTCAAGAATTCTTTTCTGAACGACGATCTTGTAGTGGAGGTATGCATGGCTCTTCCTCCAGGTTTTGACTTTATGGCCTCCCAGGGACAAGTATGTAGACTGCGGAAGTCCCTCTATGGACTAAAGCAATCAACAAGGGCATGGTTCGGGAAGTTCACAAAGGTGGTGTTAGTTCGTGGATTCACTCATGCTCAATAAGACCACACACTCTTTTGTTGGCATTCGTCCAGCGATCAGGTAGCTATCCTTATCATTTATGTCGACGATATTATTCTTACAGGTAATGATCTACCGGCATTGGAGTTTTTGAAAGATATTATTGCAGTTTCCTTTGATATGAAGGACTTGTGGTCTCTCCGATATTTTCTAGGCAAGGAAATTGCCCGGTCAATTCAGGGCATTTGCATGTCTTAACGGAAATATGTGGTTAACCTTTTAACAAAGAACAATCCTCTCTTGTGCAAACAAGTGGCTATCCCGATGGATCTAAATGAAGAACTTCTTGATGTTTTCAATGTAGTTTCTGTAAACAAGATTCACTACCAGCGCCTTGTGGTGAAACTCATATTCCTTGCCCATACACATCCCGATATATGTCACACAGTTGGGATAGTAAGTCAATTCATGCATAATCCATATGAGCATCATCTCCAAGTTGTTCACCAGATTCTCCACCATTTAAAAGGTGCACCGGGCTCAGGTTTGTGTTTTTCCCGCCACTCCTCCTGTTCTATTGCAGTTTACACAGATGCTAATTGGACCAGATTCGCCCATGATCGACAATATACCTTAGGGTATTGCACATTTGTGTGGGGAAACCTGATCATGCAGAAAAGCAAAAAACTGTGAGTGGTTGCCCAGAGCAGTGTGGAAATTGAATTTCAATCAATGTCACTGGAAATTTGTGAAGCTCTCTGTTTGCACATCATGCTCTGTGAACTACGTATGTCAGTTTCCATTCCTTTACAGTTGTTTTGTGATAACAAGAAAACCATTAAAATTGCTCACAACCCAGTCCAGCATGATCGCACAAAGCATGTTGAGATTAACTGACACTTAATTAAGGAAAAGCTCGAGTTCGGGTAAATTTGTGTATCGTTTATGTCAACTAGTGGCTTGTTGGTAGATATTCTTACAAAGAATCATCCTCAGACACTGTTTGATGATTTCAAATCCAAGTTGAACATAACTGATATCTATGCTTGAGTATTAGAATTATTATTAATGAGTAGTAATAGTCGTTATTAATCATTGATTATTCTGAATTATTTGCTCTGATTCTTTTTTATTCATTTCCTTTTTCTATTATACCCGTTTTTATTTCTTTTCTTTCTAGTTGATCCGGTAATGAGTATATATACCCCTCTTAGTATCAATAAGAATCACCCTGGTTCTTTTCTAACACTTTTTATTTATTTCTTATTTATCTTTGGTTTTGTTTGGTCGGCTGAAAAAAGTAATGCAGTGTAAAATAAATGCAATATAGAAGTAGTGTATTGTATTTGGAATACTTTTTAGTGTAAAATAAATTTAGGACTTTATATTTTTGTGTTTGGTTTGAAAAAAATTAAATTCAATTTAAAACATGAGCATTAGCGGTGGTTGGCGACAGTTGGCGTCAGTTGGTGGCCGTCGGCCAACGACACTTTATACGAAACTTTGTATTTTGAATTCACGCAAATTCATTGAATTTTAAATACACTGAAATTAAACTAAATGTAAATTACAAATACACAGATATTTTCCATTGCATTTGAAATTCGTTTTGCAAACATCTGAATTCCTAAAACGTCTGCAAAAGGCATGTAATGCATCCCTTTTGCAGCCGACCTTCTAAGTGATTTTCTAATCCTAGATTTCTATGATGGGGGTGCTACATGAAATTATGGTTGTGAAGGCATAAAACTATATAGTAATAAGTGAGAATAAGTATTAGGGGCATTTACATACATATCACACAATTCTTATGTATTTACATGTTTAACACCTAAACATTCATATTCACTTCCATGCCACTGAAATCAATATCACATCAAAAATACTACCACCGCTATCTTTTTAAAAGTGAAATACACATTTCCATGCATAGGTTGATGACGCCAAGCTATTATAAGTGTAAATATCGAACTTTAGGTGTTAGATATGTAAAGCATTTGAGAATTGTGTAGTCTGCATGTAAATTTCCCTAACTTTTGTTAATTGCCTCTTTTTTGGTTGTACAAGGCATGCACAGCGTGCAACTTGAATTTGTTTTTTGGGCAACTTAATTGTGCCTTTATCCTTGTAGCATCTTTCATTTGGTAGTTCGTGAGGTAATATTTTTTTTCCAACGTACATATTGTATTATGAGATCATAGTTAGCATAGTATTGATTGATCATTTCACACTTGTTTGGCTTTGTAGGCCCTTTGAAACTAATTAAAGCTATTGTACCACACATGATATCTAGGAAAAAGGGAAAGATTGTAAATGTTGGCAGTGTATCTGCATTGGCTCCAGGTCCTTGGGCAGGTGCTTATACTGCATCCAAAGCTGCTATTCATGCTCTTACTGACACTCTCAGGTTGGTTGGCCTTACTTGTTCTGCTTTCTATTTTCCTTGAGTGATTCTAGGCTTGAATTCTCAATTTGATCCTTACACCTGCTGCGGCCTTTTCAACAATGAAATTTAAGTGTGTTTTTAACTGCTAATGGGTTTCTTTTGCAAGACTTATTTTTAATGCCAAATTAAAATGGTATAGACTCAAAGAAAAAAAAAAGAAAAAGGATCCAACTTAACATGGATGCAGCTTCTATGGCGTTCTCAATCTTTCAAAATTTCAATTCTTAGCATGCCTTTAGTAATCAAAGTCATTTATTGATCAAGTAAAGTGTCAAAATAGTCCTATATTTTAGTCTCAGAGTTTATAAAAGTGTCAAATTAGTCCCTTGATTTTTTTAATATTGGCTGAATTAATCCCTATAGAAGACTATTTTGGCCCCCATTATGTTGACTAAATTTACATTTTTATAGACTGAGGCTAAAATGGAACCCCACAAAAATCCATGGATCAATCATTTTGGCATTTTTCTCTATTAATTTAAACCTTAACTTTTCTTAAATTGTTCTACATCCACTATCATGATTATTTTATAGCTCAACTACTCATCAAGGCGAGTGTCTTCTCCTTTGTTTTACTTAGTTTTAGCTTTACAAACAAGACCCCTAGCTTCAAGGCATGGTTGCTACAGCTTTTTTTTGTATGCTATTTTTCTCAGACTGGAACTCAAGCCATTTGGCATACATGTCATAAATGTGGTGCCAGGAGCTATTAAATCAAACCTTGGAAATTCCTCATTGGCATACTATGACCGCATGCCTGGGTGGAAGTTCTACAAACCATTTGAAAAGGCTATAAAGGCACGAGCTGATTTCTCTCAAACGAACCGGTCAACTCCGGCGGAAGACTTTGCGAAGAAGACTGTGGCTGATATATTGAAGGAGAACCCCCCTGCATGGATCTCTTATGGGTATCTGTCAACTATTTCTGCCATCCTTTATCATCTTCCATTATTTATTAGGGATTACCTTTTAAGGCTAGCAATGAAGTGCTAAGAAGCTTATGAATATCCATTGGTTTTATATAAGGCAAAATGGTATTTTTTATATGTTCTAATAATATGGATTTTCATCGTGCTTGCGAGATCAGCACTAAAATGTCAAACATTGTATGTTATTTGTTATTTATGTGTTTTCTATGTTTAAATGTGGATATTTCTATTGTTTAATAGCCTTGCTTTATACATTTTAAAGTGGATATCCCTTCATACATGCAATTTCTAAAATCATAAGCAAATCTGCAAGTGCTTGAGCCAATATATATATATATATATATATATATATTGCTGCATTCTACAAAACATGTGATGGGCTTATGGCTGTTAACGTTCCGATTTCGAGCTGAGCTAAGGTCGGCTCAAAATCGACTCGAAAAAAATTTGATCCAAAATTTTGGCTTGCACCTCGGCTCGTTTATTGCGATCGGAGCCAAAATTTGAATCAATCTTCGAGCGATTAACATTCTTCGAGCTAACTTGACAGCCCTAGATGGGCTGCATTAGGAAGAATAATACTGATATCATTTATCATTGTTCTACTGCGATCTAAAAAATGTTATTCTTGGCTCTTTAGTGAATATTGCAATATGTGTAAAAAATATTATTTTAGCAACAATAGTAAAATTTATAACTTGAGATATCATTATGTGGTCTAAAGCAATCTCCAGGAGTTTGGTTTGAGAGATTCACCATGGCAATTAAAAAGCATGAATACTCTACTCTCAAATGTTAAGGAGATCACACTTTATTTATAAAGAAATCGCCTATTACTTAACTTATTTTATTGATTGTCTATGGTAATGATATTATCTTAGCTAGAAACAATGAGGAAGAAATCAGAAGATTAAATGAGATCTCAACAAATGAACTGAAAATCAAAGATTTGAAAGCCTCTAGACATTTTCTTGGTATGGAAAAGTCAACATTAAAGAAAGGTGCTTGATCATTAAAGAAACAATTAAAAGGATAGCCTAAAAATCGTCTAACACTTTTATGGATCCTATCAATAAAATAGGATCAAATGGCTGCGCTCTTCACGTTGATGAAGAAAGTTACCAGCTTTTAGTTGGAAAACTTTTTATTTTAACTCAACTTCGATGTAATTTTATTATTTTTTTTTATTAAAATTTTTCAACCAATGACACTTGAGGATCTATAAATATGGTCAGAAGTTGAGAAAGCAAGAGATAAAAAAATTAGCTATTGGATTTTTTACTTTTCTAGCGTTAATGTTTACCTAAGGGAGGAAAAATATGTATGTACGTCATACACGCAGAATTTTGTGCGTATGAAGGATATTTGGAGATTATTACAAGGTTATGTCGTTGTTAATGGGGTTAGTATCCTCAATAATCTCATGAAACTCTCGAATGACAGGAAAAAAGATGAGTGTCGAACCACGAAATGTATTGGTATGTTATTGAGAGGTTATTGAGATGTTGTTGGAGTTAATATCCCCCAATAACCTCTTAATAACCCTCAATAATTGAGTTATTGGAAGATTATTCAGGGTCATACACATCCATAATTGCGTGTGTATAACATACGTAAATAGCACTCCTAAGAGAGAGCAAAAGTGAGAGAGAGATGTACACATGTACACACAGAGTGAGTGAGAGAATTATATTTATATAATATCAACATTTTTTTCATTACTATTTGAAGTTAATTTGCTTTACACATCATCTAATACATATGGGTTGTAGTCATAAGTGAGGTTGCTCTAGGCTCACTCTTGGAGCCTAACTAAAAAAATATTTTTAATTATTATTACGAAGAAAAATGCCTAAAATTTTGAATAATTATGAAGAAAAATATTTTAATGGTATTTGCTCGAATTGACCTGCCAACTTCAAAAAAAACTTGAATTATGATTAATGAGAGCTTAGTTCATATTATAGATGAGAGGTTCATGTTGACATTTAGTTAGCAGTTATGTGTTGTAATTTTTTCAAAATTATAAATTTACGTAAATTATAAACTTGCATAAATTTTCTAATTTAGCAAAATTTGAATTTTGTATGCTCAAATTAAAATTGATTGTCTCAATAAAATTAATCCAATACACTCCATGTCACTAAATTTTTAGGCCGCTAAAACATTTGAATAATGAATAAATGAGATATGATCAAAATAATTAACACGGCCTATTTAATAGATTTTTTTTGCTAAATTTACAAAAGTATTCCAAGCAAAAATTATAAATAAAATCATATTTTCCACATAAAGAAATCTTAGATTTAAAATTAAAGAGAGCTTAAAGAACACAACAACTCAAGAACGTAACAATCATTAACAATAATCACCAGGGATCTATATTCTTTATCTGTTTTTTATATCTCAGTTGTCATTATATGCACATTATTATCCAAGGTCGTCATTGTTTATCAGTACTGTCTTCTAACCATTATGTGGAACAGTAAGATGCAACCAAAGTGAGGGACGAAGTTGCCAGTCAATCGAGTCGAGGCCACAAAGATCTCGTCGGAGACGGACTACCTCTATGTGGATGAAAGTCCACTACACGGACAAAGGGAAGTAATGGGTAAAAATGTGGGTGATAAGGCTAGTCTATACATAAATAAGCTATATAACGAATTGGACAAGTGTCCAATTCTTATTTGCTCAGACTACTTAGGTTGTTAAAAATATAATAGTTGAGGAATGAGTAGGGGGACTCTGGATAACAATTTGGAATGGTAATGGCAGAAAAGAAATATTTCGTTTCCCCCTCTTCTACATCTACATCTTCTTCTTCTACCTCCCCGCTCGAAGCTCTTCTCCTCCTTCAAGGCCCTTTCGTCTATTTGTTTTTTTATTTCCAGCTAATATGTTATAAATTTTTAGCACGTGCTCAAATCTTTTACGTGAGCTAAATAGATGAACGAATAAATATTCACAAATAGGGGCGTAAAAGAGCTGAATACCAGCGAGCTGAGGCTTTGCTAATTTATATTTTGAGGTCAAAAAGTATATTCTGTTCGGCTCGTTTGTTTAGCGTGTCGAACACGAGCTGTTCACCAAATAGGGGCGTAAAAGAGCTGAATACGAGCGAGCTGAGGCTTTGCTAATTTATATTTTGAGTTCAAAAAGTATATTCTGTTCGACTCGTTTGTTTAGCGTGTCGAACACGAGCTGTTCACGAATAAAGTGTCATTTTGACAAACATAATTACGTAGGTATGAGATATTAAGGATTTGAGCAAGATTTAAAAATTATTATTTATATTAAAGTATCATTTGAATCTAATTTAATAATTTTTATTCTATTTTCTTAATTAATACTTTTAATTGATTATAAATCTTTATAGCCTTGCAGCCAGTTAAATTTTTTAAAATACTACTCATCAATCATAATTGATTACAAATCTTTGTTCTTTTTTGACTCGTTAACTTAGCTGTTCACGAACAACGAACAATTTTGACAGCCCTTTTCATAAATTACAGAGAGATTATTACGTCCGTCGTCCGGACGTCGAGCCACGTCTTGGGAGATAAAAATTTTTCTGTGCAGACTCCTGACGTAGCTCTACGTGCGACGCATGATATTTCTGAGTTATTTTCAGGTTATTTCTGAGTTATTTTTAATAATCTCGAAATAATTCAGAAATAACCCGCGATCTTTATTTTTGAATTATTTCAAAATTATTGAAAATAACTCAAAAATAATCTGCACTGCTCCTAGAGTTACGTCTGGAAAGAAAATGCGCGCTGAGAAGACTTAATAATTTTTCCAAATCACAACCATCTTTTTCTGGGTGGAGCTTAGGCTCCGTTACGTCCGTAAAAGTCTAGCCCAGCCCAAGTCGCGAGGAGCTTCTTCCCCTCGAAGAGGAGAGCTCTGGATGCCCTCGACCCCAATTTCGTGGGAGTGTTTCGAAGGAGGGATCGAGCAACTGAAGCAAGCGGCAGGGAAAGATTTACACGTTATTCTCTTCGGAGTATCAGTCTATTGTTCGCGGCAATGATTCGAGGGTCTGTTCATCCTTCGTTTTTTTTTTGCTCTCCCGCTTTTTTTCGGGGAAGATTTCATCTTTTTAAACCCCCTTAAAGCCTATTATTCGTTTTCCGAAAGAGTTTTCGAATTCAGCCCTACTTTCTTTTGGGGGATTTATGTAATAGTGCAGCTTTGGCATCGAATTTTCCGGATTACAATTACATATTCTAGACATAAATTTTCATGTTTCTCATTATTGTTTAGCTTGAATGAAATCTCTTGTAGGTGCATTTGGAGGTTATCGTACGGTCAAGCTCTTGGTAGGCGGCACAGAACAGTCGCGGCTCAGGCATTTCTTTTTCCCTTAGAGATTCGTCTATTGCATTTACTAGTTTGTTTTTTCTTATAACTTTTCGTTTAGTCAGGAAAATAATGGTTTCAAGTTCTTGTCTGGAATATATGAGGATAAGTTATCATAAGCTATGGCCAGAATTTTTGTCTTTTTTGATAATGATGAAGAATATGGTTTAGAATTCAGAAACATTTGTTGACATGTTATAACAGTAGAGCATATATATGTCGAAATCCATTAGTTATTTTCAGTAGTTGCACTATAACCTCCATCGTTTGTCTTACACACAGATCTTATAGGTTGATGTTTACCATAAGCTAACAACTAGTTTTATGACTCGGTTGCTATTTGGCTTAGACTTACTGAATTGGTATTCAAATTTTTTTTTTTTGGAATTAACAAAAATGATGATTGAAGACAATGCATCTACTTGATTACGGATGTCATGACTTGTTATTAGTATAAATCGGTTTGCTAGTTTAAATTGCATATATGTCAATGTGTAAAAATCATGGTGGGCCAAAGGTTATTTATACAACTGCAATTTCTTTTATTTCATATTTCCCGAGCTGCTTCCGCTGATTGTTTGGAGACAGTTGCTTATGTGAGGCCAAACTAATAATGATCAATATTACGTCTTAGACAAATCAATGAAGAATAATTAGTTTAATTATGGAAAAAAAGCCATTGATTTTATTATCTTTCCTTAGTAAATTTTTTTCTTGAAGTTGGGAATGGAAATTTCTAGGTGCCATATTATTTATAAAGCAGTGCAAATGCATGCTATATGGTCTGTTAATGAATTATTGATTATGTTTTTAGCACAAAATTACAGAACTAGCTACAAATCGAGTCCATATAAAAGTGAAGCAAACACCTGACCAGCGAGAAACTTCTAATGTTGTTCATTTCATTTGGTAGCTATCATACTCTGTCATACAATTAACATCCATCCTTCTCAAATCCCACAATGACAGATTTATGCGCCTTTGTTGATAAATTAATAATTGAAACTACTAATACTCAGTTTTTATATGCTCATCTTATTTTTTAAAAAAGGTGTGCTTAGTGTGTGATGTTTATGATGTCCATAACATGCTTTAGTAGATAATCCATGTCTAGGATTCAAACCTATGTCTTTCTTTCCACTAAAGCGCAACCTAGATGTTACACATAAGTTATTCCTCATTAAATGTTCTCCAAAGACCTGTAAGATGTTAGGACTTTGTATTACTGCTTTTTGACTGTTTATCTTCAATTTTTTGTCATATGTAACCCAGAAGTTGCCTTGAAGCTTTGATTTTATTACAAAACTAATCTGGAATTTAGTTCTCTAAGAGGCATTGATATTTAAAGTCATGGATCATGGCCATGAAATCCAAATTTCTATTTCAGCATAAAATTAAATTTATAACATAACTTTAATGTTGACGATTAAAATAGATTTGTAATATAATGGCCCTCATATATTTATCAAAGCCTACTGATTATTGTTCAGTCTGCACTCTTTCTAGGAGAAGAGAAGTAGGTGTTATATTTTTTAATGATGCTAAGCGTGCTCAATCTTATCTTACTTCTTCTTTCTTACTTGTTGAACATTTGCTTAATCATTCTTAACAAATTTACCTGCTTATACATCAAGTGGGCATCGATTAACATTTTTATTTTTTTCTTTTTGAATAGCCCCCTTTTTTCCTTTCATCAAGACACAAATTCTCAAGTTCATTTCCAAAAAAGTCAACCCAGAAGCCTGCACCTGAAGTTGAAACTTCTAGATCAACAAATAACACATCCAAACTTATTCTAGGCAGTGCAGTAGTTGGTGCTGCAGCAGCGATAGCAGCATATCAAACTGGCTACCTAAAACTTCATGTTACGGATGATAACTCTTTTCTTAGAACCAGCAACCAGGACACTGTTAAAGCTACTACTGATTCTAAGCTTCCAGCTGACAAAGAAATCCTGCAAGCAACTGACAAAGAAATCTTTCCAAGTAATGGGATTACAAGCCAACAGAAACCAAATGCAGGAAATGTCGAAACAAGTGAAGCTGTTAATGTTGATTCTAAGATCAATACAGAAACTTCAGAAACATTACCCATGAAGGAGGAATCAGCTCCTTACAGAGAAGAGGCAATATCAATTTCTGTTGAGAATGCTACAACACCTGTTGAGAAAGCTTCGAGTTCCGTAGGGTCAACTGAAGAATTGTTAAGCATGGATAATGGTATAACAATTGTCAACTCCAACCAAGTGGGGAGTAGGGAAACTGAGGGTTCCATGGAACAAAGGGAAGATTTAGTGGACAGTTTACTTCTTCATTCAAATGAAGCGGACGCAAAGGTTTCTGATTCTCATCAAGTTTCCTGGACCGAAGTGCAAAAGGTATGATCATTTTTAATTGTTCAAATTGAAGACTTTCTTTTTTCTTCATCTCTATTTTCTAGTTGATATATGCTAGTTCTTTTGTTTTTGTACCATTATGTTATTTCATGTGTCAGTTTAACTGAAACTTTACTTTTGGAAAAAGAAAGGCAGGCACCTAAGGTTGGATATTGTATAGCTGCATGCACCTGCACTTTCGATTCACTTCATTCCTTTCAGGACTTGCAATGCTAGCTTCCCATAAATAATTTGAACGAGGGCACACCCTGCTTGTACTCCTTGAACTTACTGCTGTTTGATTAATCTTTTCCTTTGGCAAATATTTTTTTTTTCTAGTCCCAGCTGTTTAGAAAGCTGCAGGCAAAGTTTCAGCTTCTGGTATTCTATTGGTTGCAATATTACCGTGCCAATAAATCATTCGTATTGGTGTAAAAAATTGATTGCAGCATTTCAGCTTAAAGCTTGGAATGTTGTGAGGAATTTGTGATGCATTATGCCAATAGAGAGCAATCAGGATGCTTGATGATTGCTATTTTGTTGATTCTGTCTTGCTTGCTTGGTGGAGAGATGAGCTTGATCCAGGCTTTTCTCGGTTCAAAATTGGCTTTATCATATACTGGCAACTTGAAATTAACTCGTAGCTTGGATTGATTTGATTGTGGTAGTGTTGCTTTGAATTTTTCTGAATTGACTTTGAGTCGGGCGGAATTACTTTTTGATTTAGATATCAATTAGAAACAGTGATTTGTACCTATGTGTCTTGTGTTTGCACTCACTTGCACTCACACGTGCACACAAACACATGCAGACGGACGGACGGACGTACGTATATACGTACATACATGCATGCATCAATTTGCTCGCTGTCGCCTTCTGCCGCTCGTCTTTACATTGAATTCATTTTTTTTTAAACCAAACAAAAAAATGCAAAGTCATTTATTTATTTTACAAACCAAACAACTTTAAAATAGTTCAAATACGATGCATTCTTTTTTCAGCAAACTAAACAACCCCTTAAATTTTAAGATATTGTTGACATGATTTGATACCAAAGAAATTATTCTCGTTTTAGTCTACCTTGGCTTGAAATATATAAATATTCAATAAACATTGTTAAGTGGATTAATTAAATTGATTACCTTCGACACTACATTGTTCTGAAACGTTCCAATGACATTTAGAATAGTACTTGTTGCACTATCACCAGCTTTTTTAGTCTTAACTTTTATGCATATTAATGTTTTTGAGTTTAACAAAATAGGAGAGTATGTAACAGTCCTATTTAGACTTGATTTATCATGATCACAATATATGTTTGTGACATCCATACTTTCACTTGATTTGTCATGATCACATAGATATTTTTGTGATTGGATTATTTAGAAAATGTATGTACTTGGCATGACAAGTTACATTATCATAGATAAAATGATTGAATTTAGGCTCATTGACATTCATTAAGAAGGGATATTACACACACTATTCTAGGATTGTTCGTACAGGCATGCACACTTCATTTTCCATTCCTTCAACTTTTAGGTTGATTTTCTCCATGTATTGTGTTGTTGTTAAGGTTTTAAAAACAGGTTTGGACTGGTCGATTCGCCTACGAACCAGGCATATGGCTAGTTTAGGTAATCTTAAGAACCATTTTCGCATCAAACTGATGAGAATTGGTGTGGGTCGAGGCGACAAACCGGTGAACTAGTCTTGGTTATATAGAACCAATCGGTACAAAACAACTATTTAATTATCTTAATTTTATGCAGTTTATGTAGGTTTAATTTTATAAATTATTTTAAGTCAAACATATAATTATGATTTTAAAAATATTTAATATAATAATTAATATGAATTTAATCAACCAATTCGTCATATGCCAATTACTTAAATGACTAACGAGCTCAAGTTGTAGAACAATTTTTTTTATATAAATAATGAAATGTTATATTTCTTTCATGATGTGAGACTAAAAACCTGTGCGCTGAAATATGATTGGGTTGCAAGAATGAAGAATTGGGCTAGACGTTGAAAATATTAAACGGGCTACATAATACAAGAATATTATAATAAAATTTTAACTCTTAAACTTTTTACATTGTAAACTTTTTATTTTTATTAATTATTTATTAGTATAATTTATCTTTTTACAAGGAGTTATTTTGATATTTAAATATCTATATTAAATTTGTTTATTTTTTTTTAAATGTATTTGTTGAAATTTAGAATATTTTTGGTATCTTTTATTTTAGTTTTTTCTATATTTAGATTATAGAATGATTGTTATATTATAATTCTCGTTTTCTTCTTTTATTATGTGGAGTTATGATTGATTTTATGTCTTTCCTAATGTTGTGGGAGCTGACCATCTATTTATGTTGTAATCTTTTCATAAGAAATTGAAGATGAATAATATTTTTTTCTTCTAAAATAATCACATGATATTAGGGCCACCGAAAGTGCCCTAACATGTGTCAAGGTCGAGGCCGCTTACGACTACTTTGTCTTAATGCATAATAGCCCGGTAATGCCCTTGCAATTGCGTCATTCTCCTCTGAGTCTGAGTGGTTGCGTTCAAAGTCAGTCTCTCTTGCACTGTCTGCCAGGTTGTCTAGTTGTTCTGCTATTGCAAGCGTTTTTTCTCGCTTCGATTTTTCCTGATACATGTGCAATGTGACAGTTCGCTTGCGTGAAGCTTCTGCAACTACCCTAGCCCTTAGTTGCTTCTTCCTCCGCCTACTTGCATCTTCTTCAAAGACATTGCCTCTACTTGTGTTTTTCCATCTCGACAGCAAGTTCAAAGCATGGCCTTGGCAGCAATCTGCTGTTTTTTTTGTCCTTCGAAGTTGCCAGTTCCTATTTTGTAGTCGACAGTTGGGTTGAACCCGTGCAGGGAGGTATACTATCGCGACATACAGGAGCTTTGTGCCATTCTTGATTGAAAACAATGATTGAGATCACAAAGTAAAGGAGTTCTGTGCCGCTTACACAGGATTGTGAACGGATTGCTATGCATAGGAGTTCCATGCCTTTCTTGATCGAAAACAGTGATCGAGATCACAGCGTTAAGGAGCTTTACGCAACTTGTGCGACCAGTATCACAATGTTTTTCAGATTTTGAAGTTATAGCAAAATAGCAATGATGGCAGGGGTTCCAAAAATTTTACCACATCAATCGGTTTAAATTATTTCGAAACTACAACTCATTGCCCTGCACCCGTATCAGCTGAGTGTTATTCCTACAACTTACCATCTTATTTCACTGTGGTAAAACTTAACTGACACAACTATCTCGTGTGAGCTTAATTCATAAAATTGGCAATCGACGGGAGAGACAAATTGTGTATTTTACTGGAGAAATTTCAAAACATACAGTTAGTTATCCAGATTTGAAAAAAATGGCTTCGAAAATTCTTTGTTTATTGCTTGACTCATCAACTTCATGGAACCTACCATAGGAATGCCACATTCATTTCTTCCCACTGCTCGAGATATTTGGCAGGCTGTTTGAGATCTCTATTCAGACTTGAAAAATTCTTCGTAAAATTGAGTTATAAACTCAACTTTAGAAATCCAAACAAAATGACTATGATGTTGCTATATATTATAATAAGTGGTAACATTATGGTAAGAGCTTGATAATTATTATGGATGACATTTGGGAGAATGCAAATTACTCTGTTCTCCACAAGAATAAGAGGAAAATGATTGGGTCTACATGTTCTTAGCTGACTTTAATTGGAGTTTAGATGAAGTTCGAGGTTGAATCCTTGGTAGGAAACCTCAACCCTCAATTCGAGAAGTCTTTTATTAAGGTAGATGTGAAAAATAATAAAAAAAAATTATGTTGTACAACACTGAATCTTCTGGTTGCTTTGAATAGGAGAACTCGATTCTTGTATCAAAATGGGTTGATACTGACGATGAAGGGAGCAGAAAATTATGATGCGAGCTTTGCCAAAAATCATATTATACGAATTAGGCATGTTGGAAGCTTCTTGAATAACCTACAAATTGCAGATCAAAATTCATGCGTGAAGCCGGAGCTTATTAGACATCCGAAAAACTCAAGAGTCATCTGCTAACTCCAAGGTAATCTCTTTTACCAAGGAGCAATTATAACACTTGCAAAGGTTATTTTAATCTCTAAAACTATCCGACTCCATCTTGCTCTTTAGGAGTAACTCTTTAGCTACTGCTTTGTTAGATGTTATTTCTAATTTTTTTTTTAAATTTTTGGATAATTAACCCTGTTGCAATTGATTATATGATGAGTTCTAAATTATTTTCTCTTATAGGCCTTGTGCATACAATAAAAATGAGAAAATGCTGATGATTCCCTCTTGGTAATTGTCAGGATAAAAACTGTCGAACTCTTCTCGTTGTTAATCTTTCGCGATGTTCTCCATGTTCCTAATATATCATGTAACTTGTTGTCTATTTGTAAAATTACTGCTGATCATCAATGCTGAACTAACTTCTATCTTTTTTGCTTTGAGTTTCAAGATTTGATAACATAGAGGATGATTGACAGTGCTTAGGAAAAAAGTTAGATTATTATTTTGAAGATAAACTTAATTTGAATAAAAAATATCAAAGTACTAATTTTAATTCTGTTATGTTTCAAAGAAAATTAAAGTATGTTATGACATTATATGTTAGATCATCCCGATTTTCATTATCTAAAATACTTATTTCCCAAATTATTTCTTAATAAAGATATATCGTTGTTTCAATGTGAAGTGTGTCAGTTTGCTAAGTATTAATGCATATCATTTTCTCTCACAACGATATCTAGGGTGGTCTTTGCAAAATCGTTACACACTTTGGGAAAAAGTGGTTTGTGAATTTCAGTGATGTGCACACTAGATGATGCGAGGTTTATTTAATGAAAGAAAAGTCTGAAATAGAAATAATTTTCAAATATTTCTACATCATGGTAGAAAACCAATTTCAAAAAATCATTCAAATATTCAGAGTGATAATAGTTGAGAGTATTT